TATTGATTTCATGCATATATTATGTCTTATAACAATGTGACATGGCCGACTGGCTGCCATTTTAGTCCTATAATACCTGCCTACATGCAGATTTTATTAGTTGGCATAAATAACTACAAATCATTTTGTATACTCAACAATCAATGTATACAATCTGACTTTTATGAATTTACAAGTGCTTGTGGTTATCATGATTTATCACAATGTTAATTATTCTGTTCACAGAGTATCAGGTAAATCGACACCTCTCAGCCCTGGTAGAGACTTGTATCAGAAGATGAAAGAAGGGCCACCAAGAACTGATGAATCTGGAGAAGAAGGTGAGCAAGGGCACATTGGTTTCATGCAGCCATTATTGTGGTTAACCAACCATGATTAGTCCCCGTTCGAACGCAGTCTGCTTTGACCTCTGTGCTTCCGTGCGTGCATGCGTCCAGACCTGTATCTTAGAAATGCCTGAACCATAAATGTGGTTCTCGTGCCATATCTCTGACTTGCTGTGACTGATTATGTAAAAAATTTTAAATATTCATTATACATCATGTCATAGATATACAGATATATTGGTTTGACGATCCTATTAAAAATGGGCCGAATGGTGGCCTTTTTTGTGCTAAAAAATCATCAAATATCAAGCATTTCTGGGATTTATGGATGGATTTTGTTCAAACTTGGTACATACATTCGACATTACAGGTTCCTGATGCACGTCATTATATTTTTCAGATCAGATTCAAAATGGCTGACTAGTGGCGATTTTGTTTTAATGAATGGACTTCTAGAGCCATATCTTTGACATGCTTTGACTGACTGTTCAAATTTTATATATTCATTATACATGTATTCAAAATGGCTGATTTTGTTTTAATTAATGCTGTTCCAGAGCAATATCTCTCAATACTCGTTTGACGATCAGATACAAATGTCAATCATTTAAATGTTAAACCATCATCATAATCATATTCCTGACATGTTTATATTCCACCTATATTACTATAAACAAAACTATATATCTTAAATTTGATAACTAACGGGGACTGTTCCGTGCATGGCTTGTTGTATGTTGAATTTCTCTCAATTACCGAAGTTGAAAATCTTAAGTCAGTCTCTAGGTCTTGATTTTCAGGAATATGTAACAGGCGAGGAATGAACTCAAGTAACGAGTAGAGTATTATTTTTAGAATATTATTTTAGAAGAGTATGTAGTCAACTGAACAATTTCTACTTCTATGTGGAAATATTTAGTTGCTAATAGGTGAAAATGTTCGTAATAGATCTCTCATTAATATGTGTTTAGTGTCATCAAGTTAATCATAATCATGGCTAAATGTGACAGATTTTAGAGAACCTGAAAAATATTCCCAAGCGTTGTCGCCCAGTGTCTTAAACCTGTGCATCCTGTGAAGTTGCATCTTCATTCAATTTGTCATTCAACATTATCAGTTCCTTTTTTTTGTGTTGTATATTTATTAGGTAAAGCCTCGCATTGGAGTCCCAAGATTTACTTCAATCATAAATGTTTTTCTGGGCCATACCTTAATAAAGGCCGTATTGCTGAATTACCACGGGCTGTGGGTCCTGGTATTGTTACCTTAGTGCTAAAGGAAGTAATATCACTGCTTATCAATGCAGCATATAAACCACCCAGGGTTCTTAGAGAGTTACAAGTACAACATGAAGAAACTGCTGGAATGAATGGACATTTACAAGTCATGAAAGCAAAGTATGTTTTAATTTCTTTCTTAAATATCTCAAGATGCAAGCAATTGATAGTGCTCAATGACTTGTTTTACATAATATTTCACAAAAAACAATTGCTATTGATCTTGAAAACCAGTTGGTTATGATCAAATCTAAATTTAAATCTTTGTTAATGTACAAAATTTCTGAGAACACTTGTACAATTGCAAACTATGTGTTTGTAATTAAAGAATGTACATTTTTACAGATATAAAAGTAAAAGTTACAGAGCAATGGTTGAAATCTGTAAAAATGCTGACGAGGTTGAGAGTTTCTGTAGAGATATGTGTATAAAGTTAGAATGTTGTCCAAATTTGGTTGCATTGGACCAGATAGAAGACAACTGCCCAGAAAACTGTTCAACACTCACAAAGACAAAATACAGTGAGTAATGCTTAATTATTTATTTAATAAATATGAATATTTGACTACTATACCGGTCTATCTAAGCTATCACCTGATGTATAGGTGGTTGTAGTAGTATGCTTAGTGAGCTTTAGAGAATATCTGAATCACAGGTTTTTAACTCATTTGTCATTGTTGGTATATTAAAGCACAAGGAAAATATTGTCATAAATCAAGTGCCTATAACGTTTCTAACTAATTTCATCCAGCACACTATTATGGGAAGAAAAAGAGAAGCAGGGTTGGTAGACCTCCGGGCGGACACAGCAACCTTGAATATGGACCAAAGAAACCAGGCAAGAGAAGGAAAAAGAGAAAGCCGTTTGTACACAGAAAGAAAAGAACATCATCCAATGAGGAAGCTGGAGGAGGTTTGGAAAATGGTGAAGAAGAGGAAGTTAGTGAAAATGAGGAAGAAGATGAAGAGGCATTAGCCATAAAGAGGAGAAAGAAGGAAGAACGCAGGAAAGAAAAAGAAAAGAGGATGGGATTGAAAAGACCACTAATCATGACAAGAGCCAAAGCTCTGTTGGAATCAGCAAAGAGGGCCAAGGTAAAATAGATCATACTAATCAGATAGAGGGCCAAGGTAAAATAGATCATACTAATCAGATAGAGGAAGATATCTACATTGCCCATCTGTCTGTAACTTTAAATATCCATCATAGGATATTAATCAAACATGCATTCTAATTTTATTTTGAATTCAGCTTCCACACAAGATGGTTTTACCTGATAGAGAACGTGGAAAGAAGATGAAAACTCGGTTTGGACACATTCATAAAAGTCATCATCATCATCATCACCATCACCATGCAGGCAGTAGCAATGTCACTCATAAAATCAAAAGTGAAACTAGAGTAAGTTGTAACTCAGTTAATTACATTTTGAATCTAATTTAACATAATTTTCGATAATTTCAATGTAAGAACATCCATAGTGTTAAAAATATTCAGTGTTGAACTAGTGTGTTCTACCAAGCAAGCTCAGTATAATTTTATAACAACCTGTTTGTTGATGATTTTCTGATTTCAGGATAGAAATAACGAAGATTTCTTGCAGTTAGACAGCAATCCACTTCATTGGAGTGTACAAGTTGTGGTGGATTTCATCAAAAGTACAGACTGTGCCCCGTTGGCTAAAATATTTAAAGAGCAGGTGAGGAAGTTATTTGTCTCATTAAGGCCTGCTGTCACAGAATGTCTATTGATCTTTGCTCCATTAAGTCTTCTGGTTAATTTAAGTTTTTTGTTTTGATTTGATTTTCAGGAGATCGATGGCCAAGCTTTACTTTTACTTACATTACCCACAGTTCAGGAGTGTATGGAGTTAAAACTGGGACCAGCTATAAAATTATGTCACCACATTGAAAGGGTCAAGATTGCATTTTATGAACAGTATGCAAAATAAATGGAAATTTCGACTGTCAAGCCATGTGTTTGACGTAGACTACAATTATATTTTAAAACATCTATATCAAAGTGTTTTGGATTAATACTGCGGTTATGGGTTTTGTAACGTAGAAGTTAGTTAGAAAGCACATGTAACATGTTGAGTACATTGTTTATGCAGCATGGCATTAAAAATATACTAATGTAACATTACATTAATTGCAAAATTGCAAACAGACTGGGCTTAGCCAATATGTTGTAACAAGGAAATATCAAATTGTAAAAAAATATTACACCACCATGAAATGGTTTGGTAAAATGCACTAATTTAATGCAATTTGCAGTTATTAGTTGCCATGACAGCAAGCTGTTATGCATGTTGATGGAGTGACTCTATAAAATAGAAATGATGCATAGTTTACTAATGACAAGATCGGTTAAAATAAAAGTAACCAGTTTCCTCATGGACTATAAAATAAATGTAATTTTGTAATATAAATTAATGTACAGGTAGTTAGGAAAACCTATTAATCCAGTATCTGCTTGAATTGTGTGGTGTATTTGTATTTTATTACTAGTATCCAAAATACACTGGACACTTTGTTAGTTAACGGCTTATTTTTCAGAAACAACCAAACAATATATGAGAAGGGGAGAATTATAGTCACATCATGATTTAAACAATTATTTGCAAAACTATGATTACTTAATCTGTTTTGAATGAACTATTGTTTTTGTAATCAGGAGTGCATTGGTAACTGAACAATCTACTTAGAGTTCTTTTAACGTCACATCACAAGGTCTTGCTTCAACAATGCTTAATGAAGAAGAAATACGTCTATTTATAATTGGAATTGTTTTATTTTTATGAAAACTGTATATTAGTCCATTGTGATATTTTCACTGGTGTGTCGTGCATTTTTTTACACGCAGTACAGAAAAGAAACTACTTTAGTTCCAAGTAAAAAAAAAAAATTGTCTACAAAAAATAATGTGACTAAGTACTATTAACTCTAGAATTGATAGTGTATTTAAAAATGTTTATTTCAAGAAGTGGATTTAACTTGAATTTAAAACTTTAATAATAAAACAGCCACTGCCATATTTCATAAATTTGTATATTAGATGTAATGAAAACCACATATTGGTTGATCGGATACCGGTATTATGATTTTATTAAAGTGGAAGTCTAGGCAAACAACATGAAAATGCTCCACAAATTAAGGAGAATGCAATTTACAGTTATGTTAATATAATTTTTCATTCTCTAGATGTTCAACTTTTATTCAATATTGTGTAATCCACCACCTTGATTCTCCAGGAGAGGATTATGGGTAAAGTGTGACATCATAGTCACTGTTGTGAAAAATTAAGAAATTTATTTCATCTATAACTTACTAATGCAAATTAGTTCAAAATTATAACAATAGAAATTAGAATGTTACAAATACACAAAAAGTAAAGGTGTTGCCATAAACATGTAAAATAATCATTTTGGTCATTAAAAGTAGAATAACACTTTATTGTTCCTTTTTTTGTCATCAACGGTTTATATATAACCTGGATAACCCCCTCTCATTGGTAAAAAATGAATATCTTCAGTTCTGTTGCCATGCCAACTATTTTGTATGTATGGTTGGGAAGGACACGTGTATATTGCTACTATGTTGTGAACTTTCAAACAATTTGAAGTTAGACATGAAATCTTTTTTCAATTTCTCAAGAGGGAATATGATGTCCTATACTTTACCCATAATTATTTGTTGGAGAATCAAGATAGTTGACTACATAATACTGATGAAAAATTATATAAAAAACTGTAAATTGCCTTTCCCCACATTTGTAGAGCTCTTTCATCTGGGAGCATTGTTAGCCTGGACTTAATCCATGAACTGACTATACAAGTGCTGTAAATATTACAGCAACTTTAAATAAAAATAGTTTTCATTTGAAAATAAAATAGGATAAATGTAATTTTCATTGAGAACTGTCCCGATTGAAAAGGGATTGTTTTTATTCTTGTGTTATTTGTCAATGAAATGGGTAAATATCTTTTCGTTTCATCAAAATTTTAAAAGAGTACATGACATAAACATGGCATGTTGGAATAGAGGATTCTATGCAAGTGAATTGAGGTCATGTGTAGTTAGGTACAACCTTTGACCCTTTTGCTTTCCATGCAAAATTTTAGTGCAAACATTTTTGCAGTTCCTTAGTTGTCTTTTAATTGTGACCCAAGGAACTTTGTGTACAGGTTGTGGTTGCAAGTCCTGATTGAATTAGATTATTGAATAGATTCAGAACATACTGAGAATTAAGGCGAGGAAAAAGGGTCAATGGTTGCAACTGGCTGTACATCTGTTTCTCAGAATCTTTTTTTTTTTTTAATGAACTCAACTTGTAGTTGGTTTATGAAATGATTCAGAAACTGCTTACAGAAGGCGACTCATTGATAGAGATGAGTCTGTTTTGTACAGTTATTAATGAAATGTTAGTGCCTTTATGATTCATGCTTTTCAGAAAGAAAGAACCATATATGTGTTGAGTAAGATAGCATTGGTGTATCTTAAGTAAAAGGGTGGGTAGTTTGATATGTGCCGTCGTTTTGGATATCTCCCTAATAATTATAACAATATTTCTAACCCCAAACCTAAGTAAGCCCTTGTACAATATTGACTCTAATCTACCCAAACTTTAATTTTTTTCCAGAAGCATTTAATCAAAAATTGTGTTTCTATGACAATAATTACTACACCAGTGCCATATTAGTATTAATGTGGATCTGAATATGTTTTGTGTGCATAGCCATGAATATCTTAGACTAATTGGCCGACAATATAGCTGAGCTGCTTTCAGGAAGCCAAGAGATGATTATCAGATTTGGAGGCAACATTGCTTGCAACATCGCTGCCAATTAGCTTACTATATTGCTGGCTTGGTTTATGAAACATTTACGGTCACAGTTAAAATATCAGAGGGGAGTTTTGCTTTGACCATTCTGTGTTGTAACTTTTTAAGTCAAGTGAACAATAACTGTTTTTTTAAGATATCCTGCTGATTTGTTATTTCTGTTCACTTTTCATTACTTTCAGTATTTAGATAGCCTAAAATGATTGGGGGGGGGGGTTCCTAACCTCTGAAATTTGGTGGCATGTGAACAAAAAATTGGGTCGCTGACAACATCAAAAGGTAGTACAGAACTATGTAAATATATGACAGTTACAGTAGTTAATACATGGAAGATAGAAAGTATTCTGATGTGAGAATATGTGTGCATTTACTCACCCATATTTGTGACACTATATTGATAAACTTAAATTCTACTTTGCAGTGTGGGTTTTCAAGTTATAGTGCCAGATTACAACAACAAAAAACTACCAATAATCAAAATTACAGTTTAGATATAGATGCTTAGTGTGAATAGAACAATGCTACTACATAAATGTTTAGAAATAATTCATTAGCTTTATTTTGCAAAAAAGTTTTCCAATAAATATTTCCATTGAGGGGGGAATATAAAGTATATTTTTGAATTTGTAAGTTTCAAGAGAAATTGCATTGTTTTTGTAAAGATGAGATTCTGGGATGGTAAACATGCCTGTATGCAGCTAAATAAAAATTAATTTTGCCACAAGTCTTTGTATTTCTTTATGTGTGATACTGCCTTTAGTGACAAACAATGGCAGGACTATTTACTGCCGATGAGTCAATAGACCACTTTCCCGGAAGTAGCAAAACTGGGGTGCAAAAATACTCTGCTTTGTCATGGCGGAAAATACAACCATGTCAGTTTACTGATAGTCGATAGAAAAGAATTTTATTTTTGTTACGTCGATTGGTACACACAGGAGCACAATATCACGCGTGCAAGTTTACGTTACACCCCAATTTCGCATGCGCACCCATGCAAAAAGTCAGTTCTTCGACTTCCAGGAAAGTCGTCTATTCACATTTAAGATGCTGCAGTTATCGCTGACTATTTGCATTCAAACCCTCACTTTCAAATTGATGGAACATATCTGTGGAGAATCAATGCAGTGAGTCTGAAATTGGAACATAGTCGGCAGTGGCATGACAATAGCAAATTCTGTTGTGGTGGAGGATATAGAACAGTTTACAAGTTTGTCTCTTGGTATTCATTAGAGGGGCAACAGCCAAGAAAATCAACTTTGTCGGTGCACAAATTAAGTACTTTACAGAAATTTCATAAACATTGATGTCTACAATACAGAAAGGTTCTGCACAGAAACTGCATTATAATAAAGACACTAGAAAATAGTGTCCAGTTAGTTATAACCAGCCTGCCCCTTTCTCCTAGTCTTATTCTTGGTTTAGAAAAAATTAAAATGCAGTTATTTTAAATTGCTCATTAACAGGTTGTGATTAATGGAAACTAACTCCATAAACGAGAAATTAATGCAATTTACTTTGCTTCATAAATGGAAGTGGAATAGTCAACACAAAAGGTTGAATTCAGTGCTTTGTTGTACACTCGCATCATGTGATGGTGAATGTATTTTTCAAATGTTTTTATTTGTATACCTATCTCGACCAAATCCTTCAGAATATGAGTATTGGTACAGAGTGCCAAAGCATGGCATGGTTGAAACCAAGCTTGGCCAAGTTTTTTACCCTTTAAGCTTTAGGTTCTGGAATGCCGTACTACATGTATTCACTAATCAAACATGGATAAAGTATGTGAACTAATAATCTACATATGTATGAACCAAATCTTAGGGTGTTAAATATATGTATATGAAAAACTAATATGGACTGATAAAAAAAATGGCGATTACTAATTACCAAATTCTAAATGTGGAGTTACTGAAATAAATACACGGCCAGGACAATTGGTCACATGACCATGAGTGATAGAAAACACATCTATTTATCTCAGATCTCAAGAACCTGTTATACTGATGATTTTCACAAGATATCCCTCAAGCCATGAACGATAATTATAATCAGATAAGGTAGTTCCTAAATTTCATGATTAGTTATTCCTGAAGATGTACAACTCAAAGAAATAGGTACATGAAAAAAAAATAGCGACACACATATTTGTAACTTATGATGTTGAAATAATTTAATAAGGACAATAAACTTTCCTTGGCATTCACAACAAATCACTGAAAAGCCATAGCTTGGTGTTGAATAGCTTTAAACATTTCACACCCTGAACAGTGTCCTATGATAACATTGCACTATTGTACAACTGACGGAGTTAGTTACCTGTATGTGGAATTAATGAACACTACAAAAGACAGACTTATATATTTATAAATGATATTTAAAATTCATATACAGTCAAAATGAATAAGATTTCTCTTTAAGATAAATTTATAAAAAAAAATTCTATTTTTATTATTTTATTTTCTTCTCGCTTGTAGCTTTTCTTCTTGTTATAAATTGTTGTGCTATGAATTCAATCATATCGTACTCTGAAAAATATACAGTTATTGATATAACTACACAACATATACCACCTATTGCAATATGTAGTAGCCGAAATAATATTCCTTTATCGCAGCAGAGTTTGGTCTGAAAGAAATACAATTATATGGTCAGAATTAGAAGAAATGCATACTGACTACCATTGCAGGAAATTAGGAAAGTTCTGCCCAAATTTAAGATTGTAATTTTTTATTTATGCTTTCATTATTATATGGGTTAAAGCCATTAAGTACAGATTCAATAACAAAATATGAATAATAAGAAATATTGATGGTTTCTACTATATCTACCTAGCAGTAATGATATAATAAATGGCATTCAACTATTTATGGCACAAATTGCAAACTATTTTCACTGATTCAAAAATCAATGAAATCTGATGTATAATGGGTGCAGCACAACCTAGTATGCAAATTAAATTAATTATCATTCAAACATTCTGCCAGTATTTTACTTATTAAAGAAATTTTCTGAAAAGAATACCATTTCACAGTAAATTAGTTATGTTTTGATTGACTTGAAGTGAAATATTGTATTTCCTCTATTGGAAACGCACATGATCAAAGAATTGTTTATACTGTTCACTGGATCGTTAGAATACGACTATTTGTGTCACACCTCTATCATTTACATAATAAGCATATGTGCTACTAATAGAGCAATTACGGTAAGTGCAAAGTTGTACACCCTTTCATATAGTTGTTTGAATTTTGAGCAAGAACAGAGCGTAGTGTGGACAACATTTGTTTTGAACCAGACAGAACCAGAGCAAAGATCAGGAGTGGAAAAGAAGGTCAATTTTTTTGCTTACCTCAGAAACTGCTGTGATAACAAGTGCTAATGAATAGACAACCAGTACCATAAGGGATGGTATGATTCCTTTTAGTGGTCTATATTCTGTATCTTTATAATAATTAAGTGTATAGTAGATACTGAAAAAGGAAATGACAAGTATTTCTTAATCTCTTATCTCAGAGGTGTTTTGTTTAATATTAAATTTTTGTCATTGAACTTGAGTGTGCCTTTTCACTACAAGTTATAAAACAGATACTCAGAATCAGAGTTTAGTGTTGCAGTTATATGCACATAATAAACTTAACTGAAGCTAGAATTAGAACAAAATAAAATTTCTCCCAACCAATTTGACAAAAATAAATTATCTGGATACGTATACATGTATGATAGGAACCATGTCTTGGATTTAAGCAGTGTTTGAAATTTATCAAAACTGTTTAACAGAGAACAGGGCTGGTAACTTTCAAATTTTATCATCCCTGCCAGAAAATAACGAGCCCTGGATTAAAGATTATTTGCACATAATTCCAAGCCAGCATACCAAGTCACATTATTTAGCAGTAGACAGTGACTATAATGAACTAAATGATGTCAGCGTTTCTTTATTCATCACTTGTATTTACATCTGAGAAGTCGGATGTATATAAGAATCTAAAATAATGAATTTCCATAGTTTGAATTCAAGCAGACCATGAAAAACCTTTCACCAGACCACTAGGCATGAAAATTGTAATTTTTATAAGACCAACTTGATTGTTAACCAGCCAGGGCATATGGGTGGCCAGTAATTTCAAACACTGCTTTATGGAAAGCATATGTACCCTGAACAATAATCTGTGAGTATATCCATGTCACTGTTGTGCCAACCAATTACATTGATGCACTGAGAGAAACCACTTTTATTTTCATTGACCTGAATTCCCTACGATTGAATATGACGGTATTCACTGTACATAAAATATATTCATTTAAGACTAACATACAATTTACACTTAACATAACTGACTAAGTGTAATAAGCATTAATAACCAAGGCAGGTGGTAGTTCAAGGAAAACAACCATTCATGTCAGACATTCTTATTTCTCCCTAGATACCACAATAGATTAAACATACCTGTGTAGGATTCTAACAGCTATATTGATACAGTTTGCCAATATGAATCCAACTGAACCCAATACCTTTGCAAAATACCACGAAAAGAACATGAATATGCCAGAAAATACCAGCAATTTATGGTTGAATCTGAAAATAGAATAGAAAAAATTGACATGCAGCATGACACCTGTTGTGACTGAAATAGTCAGAATTTATACAAGTGCATGTTATTTCCTGCTTTTTGAACAAAATGTCCAGGACTGCAAGACAACTTATGTGTGAATCTATAATATCTAGGTTGGCAAAAGGTAAAGCAAAACCATACACAGATTAACTTTCATTGATCAGTTAGAACATAATTGTCTTTGTACCATATTTTGAGATATAAGCAAATACATATAAGCAAAACTGAAAAAAAAAAAAAATTGACAATTGCTGCCAGTTGACCATTCTGGATTGGATACGAATGTAGCAAATTTTCTGTTTACCAAGCTTGAACTTTTGACAAATTTGAGATACAACAGAGTTGTGCAAAAAAGATGACATTTATTGATATTTGACAAACAAATTAGATAGGATTGCGGCAAAAATCAGCTTGCATCTTTTTGAATGAATACATTGCCTCTGTAGCAATTCTGAATGAACTTAGTGATTGCATCTGAATTACCAAAAATAAGTATTTTTGATGTACAAAAACAATCAGGAGCACATGTATTTCATTCTATATCAACTACCATATGTACCAAAACTAGAGATGTGTCGGGGCGAGATGCAAATCATAGGTGTGTTTGTTAATTAAGTTTGAATTGTCTAGTTAGACTTCAAAATGTTTTCTATAATTAATATTCAATTCGCTGTATTATTTCTGTTCAGCAATAGCTTTGACGTTTAAATTCGATTATTCGTATTACTATTATATCATACAAGTTGTATTTGACCTATGATGTTATTACCGCGATCAGTGATTGGTTTAGAACCGATCTATCACAACTTGAGTTTTGTGTCATGTGACACTTGAGGTCCTCGCGCCATTGTTATCATTATTAAATAAATGTCAATCCTGACATGAGACTTTCAAACTTCATGAATTGTTCCGACCAATAGTGTACAGTGGCTATACTTCGAGCCAAATCACAGCCACAAGATAAAAACTTTAGGAATTTAGGAAAATGTGAGAATGAACATTAATGCTTCCACCAGGATAGCAACTTATTTCCAATGGAATCCACAATGATGCACCAATAATTTTACACATGCTAGAATATCTCACCTGTCTACATCTGCGGTTGTCATGGCAGCAAAAACAAATGCTTCAGTAACACCATTAACAGACAACAGAAGCACATACACACAATACCATCGTAATAGTGTTGGTCCTGTAAAACAACATAACATAGTGAGTTTACATACATATTTTGTATAAAGGATTTATAAGTCTAGAGATAAGAATTGCAGGATCTATCTGTTTTCATGTAATGCTTCTTGTTTTTGATTGCACAAATACAAACACTCACAAATAAAAATACATGTTTCCACTATTTTGCATATTGCATCACAGAAAAACAGAGAAGCAGAAAACAAGGAAATGAAATATAAACTCAACAACAAGGAGACTGAAATCTGTACAAGCAGAACACCAAAGAATAAAATCTGTATAAACAGAACACCAAAGAGACTAAAGTTTCTCTAAACTGAACATCAAGAAAGACTAAAATCTTTGTACACTAACAACAACAAAATGAAAATCTCTAGACTGAACACCAAAGGGACTGAAATCTATCTAAACTGAACACCATTAAGGTCGAAATTTTTCTAAACTAAACACCAAAGCAACTGAAATCTCTCGAACTGTTCATTAAAGCAACAGAAAACTGTCTAAACTGAACACCAAAGAGACTGATATCTTTCGAAACTGAACACTAAAGACACTAAAAACTTTCTAAACAGGACACAAAAGGGACTGAAATCTAAAATAAAAGGAGACAAGTCATTGTCAAAGTCCCTCTAATACAGAAGTGAGATATTTAATATGACCTGATGTATGTGTGAAATTTAATCGTCATTGGCGCGGGTATGAATAAGGTATGGCTTTGTGGAACAGCATTCGTTTTAAACAAGATTGCAGCTAATTGGATTTAATAGTGACAAGAATGCACATGTGTTTGTTTGATGTGTTGTCTGATGTATGTGTGAAGTTTGAATTTTTGAACGATCCAGGCATGTCGAATATATGTATCATAAATAGCTTTATATGAAAAATGGCCACCAGTTAGCCATTTTGAACCCTTATGCATAAAATAAAATGACGTGCATCAAGGTCCCATTATGTTCAATGTATATACCAAGGTGTAAACGGGGACCATTAAAATATTGTGAGGTAATAGTGGATTCCCATGGATACGGTTTACAATCAGTATATAATTATTAAAATAATATAATATTTAGAAACACAAAATTGCAGTTGAAAACTATTCGAACAATCACATCCACGGTGATTTTGCAGATTTAAATTCAAATCATTGTGTAAATATTCACAAAGATTGGCATAGATGCCCCAAAATGAGAGTTCATTTTATACATGCTTGAGTTAACATAATTAACCCTAAACTTTACAGTACCAGGAATGATAATAATACCCTAGAATTATAATTCAAAAATAACTTTAAAAATTTATTTCAGGGCATACAGTGGAAAATAATATTAATACTGTGACAGTAAAAACATGATACATGAACTCTTTGTTTATTCTCACCTGGTCCATTACTTAAATCATCACCACCATAAAGGTGTAAGAGTAGATGTGAGTAGGAATATCCAAACACTGCTATTGTTAGACCAATAATAAATACAAACCCAAGTAAATACTCCAACACTTTGCTTGCTAAATCCATCGATTTCTAATCAAATTAAAACAAAATATCATTAAGCCAGGAAGGCTGACACACCATCTACAAATAATAACTACTGTAAAATACTTTATTTTCGCTGAAAAGGCTCTTTGGGCGTTTTATATGGAATTTATTTTCCCTGATTTTTGATGAGTTTAATGCGAAATATAGGAAAAAAAGTATATTTGCTGGATTTTATTTTCACGAAATCATCCCTTCAGTGAAAATAGCGAAAATAAATTCCAAGCAAAAATATAGTATTCTACAGTATTTTTTTTCATTTCGTAGTCATCAGAAAATTAATAATCAAGACATCTGTTTTTCCATTGCAAGTAAAAGTTGTAGCATATAAAAAAAGCACTAGAACATCAGAATGAAAATGACACACCCCCTCCACAATGAAAAAAATATCTGCTTCTAAAAATACACCATGACACACTAATAACAGTACCAGTATGTTTCAGTTATTCCTATGTAGAGGCATAACAAACAACAGATTTGTGTTTCTGGTGTTCATGCACATAAGCAAATTGTTAGCATATAATTTTTTTTTATTGGCATTTTAATTTCTAATATAAGTTTGTCCTCCATGATAAAATACCAAAACCACTTTTTTTATGCATATATAATTTTGTATTTTATTGCTGCAACAATTAATAACTATTAAAATACATCTGTCAACGTAACGCCATAAGTTACAGCTGTAATTTTGCGGCATTTTACAGGGTATTTTCATCCTACCATATTAGGAAATGAGAGTTCCAAATATGGAACAATTACACAGGTACCGGTAAGCGCCCTCTAATAATAAAAACAAATATGGTGGCCAGACCCCATACAAAAAGGTTCGCTAAATCTATTCTGAACTTTTTGGATTTCGGCATTCCCATGATGTATCATTGTGAGGAAAAGATGTATAAAAATAAGGTTATTACGAGGATACCGCAAAGTATGCACTCAGACAGTACGCTGTCACATCGACCTCCATTGCGCATCGAGCGATACTCCCACTGTACTGTCTTCATGCATACTTTCATAATATTAACACTGGTGCATCACAATGCAGCAGTCATTCACATTATTTGGATTCAGTTAAGTGAATTTAAACTGTTAGTTAGAAAAACTTTTCTCCATGACCTTTGTCACCCAATGAATACAGGTCAACATTTTTGAAAGAATATGGAAAAAATATGTGTGTCTATTTCAAAAATGCTGAAAACATTAGATTTTAAATTGAAATCTCATTGAAATTAGTACCTAATTTATCCCAAATTTGATGTAGAACATTTTGAATAAGCTACGTACTTTTGGTTGATCTTTCACTGGAATACCACGTTCAAGAGTTTGTGCAAAGAACAAATATGCGCTATCCTCCAGAGGAAAAAATATGAATCTAGCGGCGAGGGATCCCAAGTTACTGATAATGTCATAGACTCCCTGCTCACTGAAATTTATTGTCCCAAAAAATGTCATGATGTATCTTTCACCTGTAAAAAATGTAAAATTAATCATATTAATAAAAGAGTCACAGTCAATAATTTTTATGTCTTTAAAAAATAAGCCTAAAGTGAAGGTAAGAGACAGTAACATTGGTCCAGAGAAACAGGAACTTCTGCCATCTTGAATAGAATCACAACAAATAAAAATATTCAAATCGCCCCAGTCATCTCCGAGAACAGGCTGCAAATAAGTATTAAAATGTAATGTATTACCGTACAAAAATAATAACAGTCAGATGCAAACATATCATGTGATATAACCAAGTTTGAACATAATTAATCATAACATGCCAGGGAGGCAGGCATGCAGGCAGGCAGGCAGCAGGCAAGCAGGCAGGCAGGCAGGAAAATAATGAAAAAACAAAATGGTCATTGGTTGGCCATCTTAAATCAGATCTCCAATCTAATAACCTGCAACCAAATATATCTTGTCATTCTATCAAGTTTGATTGGAATTGGCCAAGTCGTCTGTTACAACTGATTGTGAGCATGTTCAGGCATTAAGACTTAGCGCAATTCAATTTGAAGAAATACATTTTGTATCATAGTTGAGCATGCACCACATGATGATAGTAAATCAGTAAGTGCTCTTGTCTTACCTTCTGTTAAAATCTGTTTCATAAAACCTTGTTTGAAAAAGCTCCAAGTTAACTTTGCTAGAGTATGATCAGTCCATTTCTTTGAAAAGGAAAAAAAATACAATAAGAAATAAACCTTCTAGATATACGGGTATATGGATATATATTATCCATGTTAGTGATTAGAATCCAAGTAATAGATAAAACCAGTATTGAAAAGTGTTACAGATGTTTTAAATAATACACTATGAAAGTATGCAATTATTTTTTCCATTATAGATGAAAACACTATCAACTAATAGTTTAATCAAACATAATTGTTTTGTTATATATTTCAACGAACTAAAGCCGATCACTGCAACATGAATGCTGTAATTTTTTTCTTGCCCTGGGTACATTGACAGCACTCAGAACAGGCATTTTTACGTTTCATTCTCCACCTTGAATGCCACCAGCCTGGCACGAAAGCAATATGGTTTTTAACGTTGGGCAGCCAACATTGGAGTCAACTCCGCTTCTGGTCAAGCAGATAACCTTATTCACTACGGTATATTCAAATATCATTCAAAACACTGCTCAAATGTAAAATGAGATGAATTGCTGTATCTGTACTCACATGACCTGGGTTCCTTTTTGGAAAAATATCTCTAGTGTTCTTGAGTGGAAAAGATTTATCCCCTGATGTTTTGATATAGTTTATAAAATATGCATAGTATAATACAACATACAGAATGGTGAAGGCGAGCTGAAACAGATCAGATGATATCATAGTACTCGTATATATGCATCAATATCTATTTGTAGTGATTTTGTAAGGGAAAAACCTCAAGCAGTGAGATAAGTACACAAGTAGACAATTATATGCAGTTTTATGAACCATATAAAGCAAATCTGTTCAAATACTATTATACAAATTTCTTATTGATTGAGAATTTATACAAGAAATCATAGTTAGTGCTTTTACTATATTAGTTTTACCATATACAACCTCTTACCTGTGCCCAACAGAAGGTAATGATACCCCAGTGTGGGAAGAATAATACTAATATTACTGTTAACACTGATCTAAAGAATACAGCCAAGCCTTCAACAATAACCTGGTATGAAAGAGAAAACGTGCATGTTATAGATTTTGTAATAACATATTGTACATACAGTTTTCAGTACACAAATATTAATATGCCATGCTTGTAATGCACAAGTTATTCTAAAAAACAAACAAATACACAATATCTAAGTTAAAGAGAGAAGACAATGTTATGTCTGTTATAAAGCATACACATGACCACAGTCCCTCTATCATAGATAGAGGGACTGTGACATGACCAACAAGTCTGCACAGCAAATGGCTGATACTTCCATGTATCCATACACATAAAGGGTTGTGTTAGAATTCCTGCGAGTGGAATACCACATATCCCAGAATAGACTTTTGACCTGCTTAAGTCCTTTAATAAATCTCATTTTTAGTTTCACTCCATTTTGCAGTAAATTTCACTAACATTTACAACATCAGTGAATACTTGATAGTTGATGCATATCCTGCTATTTTTTCATTTACTTCAAGTCATGTTTACCTACCTTAAGTTTCACAAACAACAGCACCTGTGCTATCACATAGAGTGGTTCTGCTAACAGTTCCAAGACAGCTGATAAAGTGTAAACTACAACGCCTACAGAATAATTAGGTATTGTTTCAGGATTTGGAACTTCCAGGAAATACACCCAGAAATACGCCAGCGATAAACCACATGCCAATCCCAGTAGTACTCTGGAAACAAATAAGTTAGGAATATTATTAGGGCTATGGTAAATACCATGCTACACATTTATTTGTTTTTCTGTGTGATGACATCTACCATTAAAAGAAACCTTATTGTAATTTTATTCTCCTTTAGATCTTAATTGTATACAATTTATTGAACTACAAATGTTTATAGAATGAGATGAAAAAAATATTAAGGTTAATTAAAAATGTATAAATAAATTTAAATATTTTGTTAAATCCACTAAGGGAAAAAGAATTCTGGTCCTGAGAATAGTATTATTTTTCAATATTTTAGAAGAAATTGACAAAATAAATATTTTTTTGTTGGCAACTCACGAACATGCTTAAATGAAAGAGCAGTCCTGATTGGTTCAAAGAATTGAGAGCAAAACTTACGTGCACCAGAGCAAATTAATTATTTGCATCCACTTAGCATTAGATGTTTTACTAAAACAAGCTTTACGGAATGCTTCTCGGGCAACAAACAAAGTTGTTGAATAGAGTAAAGTTAATCTGTTGAAATAATTCAGAAAACATAATGAAATCAATAGATTATAAAAATATATGTTGAATCAGATTCCTAGAATTATATAACTTCAGAACATATACTTGTGTTTACACTACACTGTTGCTACACTGTTCTCCATGAACAGATCAGAATATGTATGACCTTTGTACTGTGAACAGCAGCCAATCACAAACCCCCAGTAGATGCACATGATGCAAACACATGAATAAATTGGTTGACATATTTGGAATAGGGCAAGTAAAGGCAGATCAATGATCAATGCAGGATACATATTTATGTGTCTTTGTTTTGATACAGTAGCTGTACTGGATTTCAAATTATAACTTGTGAATAAGTGTCTTAAATTTAATATGGAAGAAGTATCAACTTTGACAAGACACTCCCCCATCATCCATAACTTGCCCCTCCCCATCATCCAGATCCATATCACCCCATAACTTACCCTTCCCAACACAAGATCCCCATCATCCAATAACTAGACCCTTCCCCCTCCCCAACACAAGATCCCTATCCCCCCATAACAAGATTTCCATCTCACCTGACATTGACAACCCCAAGCATTTCTTTTGAGATGTATCTTACAACAAATGCATTCAAAGCAAATGTTGTCATGCGAAATATCACCTGTAAAACAGACTACATTACTAGCATGTATGGATGAACAGATACAATGTAACATTATATTTAAATTTGGTTTCTGATTTCACTGTCAGCAAGGCACTTTTTCCTTAAATAAAGACATTCTCCCATTACTGTAACACTGTAAATTATCGAGAGAATATCTCCCAATCACATTTACTCTTCATTATCCCATATGAACATTGGTAACCCACACTTAAAAGAATTGTAATTTTGAATGTTCTAAAAGCACATAGACCTCATAAATTTTGCAACCTGGAGTCATCACAAAATGTTTCCATATTGAGTAATTATCTCCTGACATTAGAGAATTCACTCTTAAAAACTGTTCATTTTCAAATCCTAGATGCATACCATCAACATAACATATGCAGAGACTGACATTGGATTATTTGGAGGCAGAGAATTCAAAGAAGTATTTAGGAATGTCATCAGCTGACATCCATGCCTGAATATCCTTGCATTGAAAGATATAGAGTCCTGTATATTACAAGCTGTGACTCATGAAATGTGAACAAATAAACGCTATGACGAGACAATAAATTTAAGCTTGTAAACATGTAGAAACATGTATGATAAAAATATTAGAATTTACAAAAAAATCATTCACTTCTGATTTTTCACTTTATTTGGTATGTCCAATTTTATTGTCTGTTCATTGTTTTTTGCATACCCAAAATAAATGTCTTGAAACATGGCTTGTGAATGGTTTAATTCTTACATATATTCTTCTATATTGACAGCCAATCAGAACCAGCCTTATAAAATGTGTTCTTTAAAACAAACAAGGCAACCATTCAGATAAATGTGTGAGATTTTATGACTGTACATGTAGGTTGTGTGTGTTAATTATTATACAATCCTCCCTCAGCTTTCATGCTTAACTGCTATTTAAGTAATTCAAAAAATCTACACATTGTGAAGATCTACTCCTTTGCATGATTGTCGAAAAACCTTGCATATGTAAACATACCATCTACACTCATTATTACGTAAAATGTGGCTGCATCCAATAAAATCTAACTGCATGAACGTATGAAACTAATTTTAGTGAGCATTAGAGTACACATTGGAGTACAGGCAGACCATAAACACCATAGTCAGGTTTTTGGATAATAATTTTGAGAACAAATCACATTCGTACACCAAATTGCACGTCCACCAAAAATAAAGTGTACAGACGAGGTGCATAGATGTCTATTGTACAGAAATGGTTTTCATTGTTTTAGTTACGGTATGAATCGTTATTCAATGGGGCTTGGAAACATCTACTATGCAAGCCATTCAAGGGCCATTGTGAAATGAAAGGGCGAGAACGCTTTCTTTTTTTTCCAAGAATTTGATTAACACACAACAAAGATTTGGTTCGAGAGAATAGCATTTGAATCTGATGTTTAGAACTATAGCAGAAACCATTTCAGTACCCATCTGTACTCCATGAACCTACAAACCACAAGCAAATGGCAGTCACAATTGTGTGCCACCCTGTCCTCATCTAAGTGATGCAGCTGGAATCATATAGACAATTACATATGTTCAATTGTGATGACATGGTCACACCATATGGATATCCACAATATATAACAACCCGTTTGAGTTGTATTAAATTACAGTACTTCGACGTGTTGTCCCCCCCCCCTTCCTTCGCTTTATTAACTGTACATATTTGACTGTCTTTTTAGCACGTACTAGTATTCTATAGATGGGTTAGCTGCAGTTCTAGATGGGTGCGTTTATGGCTTTAGTACCTGTACATTCATGTACATTCATTGTCATAGCTTTACTCACAAAGTAACGGTGCTTTACATTGGTGTACAATGGGTCCAGATTGCGGGACTGTGATACACCGTACACGAACTCGGAGATCCATGATCTGATACAGAGGACTGCGATAATAGATACGTACCTGCAAAACCATGTTATAAGTTGCCGATCGAGCTGCACTCGCCAGTGTCTTACTACTATCTGCCGCCATGTTTAGGCAGTTACAATCAACCTCGTGTAGTAAGTCTAAACTGGAGAAATATCACATAGAACAAACCACAGTCCAGAGGGACTGTGAACAAACGAAAACAAATCAGCGATCAAACTGCCATCTATAAGCTAGTGCAATCACGTGTACGTCCCACCTGATTTGAGTTGAAAGGTCATGCTTGTTATATTGTTGTGCGTTGTTCTCACTGCAGCGTGGCTTGCTCCGTCAAACGCGAAGATGATATATTCATTATATAGCGTAAAAAGTGTAATGACGAAACCGAATAAAATAATTCACAATGAGCAATACAATAATTTGAAAAGGAAATGGCTTTTTAATTTTTTAAAACACGGCAAATACATTTTATTCCGCATATTTCAAACACTAACCGTGTTTCAAACAAACGAATAAATGCAAAAAAAAAGAAGGTCACTGGGACTTTATAGAATGTATAGATGATATTTTTCTTATTGGTCGAAAAAGTTAATTCAAATCTGTTGCTTTTACTATAATTTCGCGACGTTAATGTTTCCAGTGGTTGAGTAGTTACACGACTGAATGGTGTACTGGACAAGTTTCGTCCTACAATAGTACTATTGTAAAACCCTTGTTTTACTGATTACAGATTTTTGATTATCTGTAATTAGCGAAACGAGCCATATACGTATTAAATATTATTATTTTCGGCAATTAATTTGTAAATATTGTGCGTATAAAACCCATTTCGTTTCGTTTCTTCAATTACAATAAGTCGACGGTACCTAATCCTGGCCTGTGGTGGCCAATGCTATCAAAGCATGAGGCCATGTCGGTCGAGAACTTGCTGGCATATTCCCCCAATGATTCCCACGGCGACCCCTTCCTCTTCCGAACGGAAACACCGACTCAATTCATCTCTGATCTCTCGAGAACGCCGTGCGGAGAGTGTATGCGCCGAAGTCACCGCACGCGACGAGGAGCTCCCATTTGAAGCAACTTGAACATTCTGACCGGGATTTGTTTCAACCGGCAGCGGCGATCGTGACGCTGTTCCAGCATCGGTCGCTGAAACAGCTTGCTATAACAACAATCTTGCATCGCGCAAAGTATGACATGCTCCCCCAATTTTGGTCACTTTTACCGAAGGTAATACCACTTACCACCATCTACTATAATTAGCTTCGACTTTTTTTGGTAAATTCGCTATGAATACTTGACAGTAGATAAAATAAAGCTCATGTTTATGCCGCATTAGTACACTGGGACATAAATACAAGATATATTCATGCCACAAACGCGTAGTTTCAAACCAAGGACAACTACTCGCGCCTCCGCTGATCTAGGGAGTTTGTTCACCTTGCATAAATTATCATAATTAGACAGATAAACATGTCAAATAATGCTAACATAATGCTAACATAAAGACAAAATAATATATAAATGTGAACAAAATGATGAAATAATGTAAAAATGCTAGCTAAACGAAAACATAATGATAAAATAACGATAAAAATGTGAACATAATAATGAAATAATTAAAAAAAAAGATTGTGAACATAATGGTAAAATGCTAAGAGAAATGTTTTTGGTACTGCTCTCACCCCATATGTTTCGCCTGTTTGTATGTACTTAGTTTTGTATTGATGTTTTAGTTGTCATCCTTATTTAATTGTTTTGCTATTCTTGACTATATAAATATTTTAAGTGTAAACTGCCATGTTTTGAAATTACTTTCACCAGTGTGCTGAGTTTATTTTATTCAAGTGTGTGTAGTCATTGGTTGATGACGGTTACAACTGCTTATTTTGCTTATTGTGTAAATCGTTTTCGCCATGTTTGTTCATATGAGTCCATGTCTCGCGCATGCGTGTTGCGACGAACACCGCCCTTTCATAGGAGCAGTGGAAACATTGCTTTGTGCATGCAAATACGCTACTGATAACCTCTAACTGCAAGAGATAACGTTCAAATTCGCCTCGTGATGCAATATTGAGGTTTCTTCTGTTGAACCCAAAGAATGTTTACAAAATGTGAGTGTGTAAGCTTTACAGACTTCATTGCCGTATAGACATCTTTGTTTAGTTGAGCAATCTCAAACAAAGTGCAAAACGTTTTAATCTGAGTGTTATCATAAATGCCAAATTGTTGTCTAATTGAACAATATTTTAATGAGCCTTTGACTTATAACAAATTTACACATATGAGATTTTTCATTCATACTGATTACCGGATACCACTCTGAAATAAATACAGTCAGATAGTTGCGGCGAATATTGAAACATATGTGCACTTCCAGTTGACTCGTAAACTTAAATTGACTTAGTTCTGACTATGATTGAACTTCCTCTTCTTCGATAATTGGCCTTTTCATTATTATAGGATCTGAAAATATAGTTACATGAAGAAAAATAGGTTATGATCAATACCGCCCTATCAACGGCGCCCTCTAGTGACAGAGCGCTTCAAATCAATGTCGTCCCATAAAATATACTTCGTTGTGTGGTCATTTAGAATTTAAAATTTTTTTCAAAATCACATTTTTTATTTATTTACAGTGTCTCTTTTACACCCTGCTACACACACCCGCCACGTCACTAAAGCGTATAATCGCTAGATAGCGCAATTTATTTGATAGGCCAATAACATCGTTAAGAAATAAATTTAGTATTGTTATTTCTACATTTGAGGTGGTTACAAGTGTATTTGTAATTGATTATCTCACCGCAGTTCATAATTGTACACGCCCACTTTCCGTCTTCCTGGCAATAACTGCAAATAAAACGTATATCAATGATACATTATCATGTTATGACAATATAGCGAATGGCGAGATTGTTGGTCTCACGTTTCAATCAGATCACCATCCCCTCTGTCCAATATGTTTTAGATAAACACAGAAAAACTAGATATTAATTTGCAAGATAAGGGATGATTTTCATGATAAGGGATCCTTTAGATTTTAAAAGTTTACGACTTACATCCACCGCAAACGTGATACAGGGAATCAGTGTGAATTATTTTGGGAGACTTGTTGAATTACTGGTACACATCATTCGTGATTTGATCCGAAACGTATTAAACTCATGTTGTGTCCCACAAAACAACCATAGACCTTCGAGGTCAAATCTAGAGTGAGTGTACAGAAGGAAGTGTTCCCTGCCGGGTAAACGTGCTGCAATATGTATATTTGATATAGGTGGTATTCACTCGCAGACACCATAAATCTAACGCCAAAAGCTACACTGCCAAATTTCAAGATAAATCGTTCTCATTTATGTTAATTTCGTATGGACGTGTATAATGACTGCATTGTAGGGATCACATGATTACAAAGTCACGTGAGATTTGTTTATTTCACATTCAAACTCAGATAAACCGAAGACTTGTAAGGATGTGTTTTACCATATTCCAAATGTCCGATTATTAATAAATGGACACACCTGTGTCAACACCACGCTTTCCAGTGAAACTTGAATTTTTTTCTTTTACAAGTAATGGTCTAATATTTGCGTTTTAATATGTACTCACTGATGATGAATTATAATTTGGTAGCTTATTTCGATAGGTATGTGAGGTATATTTCTTATCAAATGTATTTGCCTTATGGCAATGTTAATTGATATTAATGACGTGTTACTGTGAATATATAAATCTACATAGCCTAAAGCTCTTACCATATCTCAAAATTTCATTTGGTTACATGTGGTGAAAAATCGTGTGTAATGACAAGATGTATGTCAGTAATTATTAGACCATTCTTATGATTACTATTATTTTGTCTGAAATTATAATATTTCAGTTTAACATGGCTTTCTATTAATTTTTTTAAATGTCTATTTTGACTCATTTTATGCAGTTTTTCTCAAAAAAATACTTTATAATGGAAACAAATTCGAATAGTTGATGACGTGTCAAAATCAATAATTATGTAACGAAACAAATATTGGCGAAGAACAGAAATTACAGACTATTTCTTGTTGAAGGCGAATGGTGAGATATTGATTCGAAAGTTGTATTATTACTTGTTGTAATTCTAATAATGAAACATGCAGGTAAAAGCGGACACCATTTCTGTTTATTTATTTATTATTTAATTTATGTATCGGCAACAACTCTTTCTCAAACTATATTATTGAATATAATATATATAATTAAATTATTAATTAGTCTAAGATCTATCTTAAATTCGGTTTTGGTGTGACCGTAAAAATCCCAATTGGAAAACATCGATTGTACTTGATACGTGAAGTAAACCATTATACAGGCTGTACTGTGTATGAGACTGATATCTGGTTATTGCTCATATTAATTGAATAAGTTGTTATAACTGTAGTGTCTGATGAATTTCATCTAAACTTTCCAGTGACCAGATAGTAATTTGACAGGTTGTAATTGAAATGTGCACGTGCATGTGACTAAATACAGTAACCTGACGATAATTGAAGTTACCTGCCAGATGTAACATATTATTTAACCATACGTTATATAAGATGAGGTGATATGTTATAAAGTTCAGAAGAGGTGCAAGGTATATCCAGGTAGCATCGTTATATTGGTATATTACACTCACCACGTGTTACAATCTTCTTTGCGAGTTTCACCGTACTGATATTGCTTCCCATCATGCACACACAGGTGTACAGGCTCCATGCACGCTGTTCCACAGTTACTGCCACTTGGACAACATTTCTCACTTCCTGGACAATCAAAGTCAGTTTGACATTTGTAAAAGCAAAATCCTTTTGGATTGGTTTCCAGTTGATAGCCGGGTACTAAGGGACACTCGCCGGATTTCTCGGTAGCATCTGAAAAAAAAAACACGAAGCTCGTCGAATATAATTATTCATTTATAATGTGAAGCCCTTCCTCACCCAACCCCAGATGAAACTGAATTGATTGTTGAATAAATATTGCCGAATTTAAATTATTTACATTACCTAGTATTATAAAATAGCTTAACCACAGAATTATAATAATTATTTTTTTTAGTTTAAAAAAAAAGCAAGAAAGTTTAGAAATAGGTAAAAATAGGGTATATTTTTAAATATCTAAAAATTAGCTCTTCAAACAAGAAACCTGGCGACTACTAACTGTGATTTATTCCATGTTTCATTTGAATCGATATTATACTTGTTTTAGAGAAATTCGACTAAACATGTATCTGTGGAAAAGCTAAAGATAGGCTAACTTATGTAAATTAGATTATTAAATACATAGCAGTAACCAGGGTTTGGGTCTAATGCCACGTGGTGTAAGAGCTATACATCATATACATCATATATTATAATGTTAATTTACAGTTTACAGTTGAATTCAGTGAATTAGATATGCTGACATAATGAATTAGATCATGTGACATAAATGGTCAGTTGATATGTTAGCCATATGTCTTGTCCGATGCCTTGATTGTTGCACTGGTCACATGCAGGCTTTTGAAAAAACAGATGAAAACGCTAAAAACTGAATAATTAGTATGCAAATTAGATAATTAATATGCACATCGTGCAACCCAAAACTAATCAGACCTGTGGATCATCCGAGAATCTGTGTGTCATTGTAATATGTTATTAAGCGATTTCCGAGAAACAAGCGAAAAAGCTTAAAATTGGTAAATTAATATGCAAATTAGGTAATTAATATTTACTTTACAGCTTGCTACCAAAATTACTCGGTTCTCCGAATTATTCAAGAGCCTCTGTACTGCGGGAATTGTTAAAAAGAGTAGGTCCATGTTCAAGAAGGGAAGAATAAACCGCGTATGAACTGCAACTGCAAGATGAACTGCAAGATGACTTTATTGAACGAACTGAAGAAGAGAGGTTCGTTTCCTACTTGCCCTTGAACATGACTGGTTACAATGGATATGGCCTTGTACATATTGACGAAAAATAAACGAGTTGATTGGTCATGATGATTTTAACGAGCTTGACATTTGGTTGAAATTAAATCAACCTCATTGGCTGGATAATTCTCAGTCAGAATCCTAAATTGTTATAAAGCTCGGTAATTTTCCGATATAATAATTATACATTAAGGTAAAATAAGTGGTTCTTGAGATATCAGTGAACAGTCACTCAAACTTGCACACATAAATATAGACACACTAACTGAAAAGCCCCCCCCCCCTCCCAAAAAAAAACAAAACAAAACAAAACAAAAAAAACATATACATACAAAACTAAATTATGGAATGGCGATAATCATATTATAATAATGATAATAGTAATCTGTCAATCTGACAGTTATACACTGAAACGCATTGCAATATTAGTACACGACTTATATTGGTGGGCAACAGCAAATCATTGTATGCATTATGTCTGGGGAAATTATTGGTTTATATATTATACACTATGAAGAAAATTGGCACTTTGTTAAATCGCCAATAAATTATTTAGGCCACGGTGTCGCTAACTATTGGGAAAATCAAGTACTTTTAGTTCAGTCAGGGAGTAAAATACGTGGTAAAATATAATTGTACAAACCATCACAGCAGAATCGTACTTTGTAGTCTTGGCAAACGCCGTCGGGTTGATCGTCATTAATACAAGCAAAACCGCGAGTTGGACTCATGAACAGAAATACTTCACCAGTCTGGTCAGCCGGAGTTCCATCCAACGTGACTACATCAATGCTAACTGGGTTATCACACATTGTACCAGGAAACGCATCTTCCAAATCAGGTAATGTCTCCCAGTCACCTGTCTTACTAGAATCGTCTTTGTCCATCCATTTGGTCCAGTGTTCACATTCGATGATTTCTGTTGAAATATGGTATGCGTTTACGCATGTACTATGACTAACCGACATTGCATTTAGTATACACGCTCCACAAGAAGTTGAATTGAACATAACAATTCAATGTAAAAGTATGATTTAACAAAAAATATGCGTAATCTAGTAAAACATGGAATGAAATGATATATTAATGAATTTAAATACTGTGTGTAATAATGGTTACCTGGGCAACAGAACCTCACTTTGTAGTTGTCACACAAATCGTCATCTTGATCGGCGTTCAGGCAAGCAAATCCGTTGATTACGTCATAGCTGAAGATTACGTCACTGGTCATATCAGCTGGTAGTCCGCTCGTTATTGAAACAGCTTGGATTTTACTCGGACGTTCACATATTTCGTACTCGTCACATAAACGCGACAAAGTTTCAATGTCGCCTAGCTCATCGACTGTAGGGTCATCCACGTTAATCCACTCTGTCCATTCACCGTCACAGGGCGGAGGTTCAATCTCGTCTATATAAATAAATAAAAAGCAACACTTACTAGTAATTTAACACACCAATTTACGAATAGAACGCTTAAAACTCCTCGGAAGGAATTAAAACAAAGAAAACACATACAAAACAAAACTCACAAAATATACGAAAAATAATTACAAAAAATACAATTATAAAATGCAGAATTCAAGATATAACACTGCAATAGGCAAAAAGATAATGGTAGTTGTTGGTAGTGGTATCTATAAATTGAGCCATTGGCCATTAGACGCCACATATGAAATATTACTACGTATTTTACTAAATTAGTTTGTTTAAAACATGATTTATGTTGTTTTTCAGCAACGGTTCGCTACATAATTGATTCATAATAATACTATATATATAAGCTCTAATATGTAACAATTAAACTTTCTATTTAATTTTAATTAATATGTTAATTTGCGAAGCTTATAATGCATGCTCTTTGGTGCAGTGAATTATTAAACATAAAGCTCCTGATGAGTGAGGTACTTGTACCTTACGAAACAGTGCTGTCGAGTTTCAATATTCATGTAGTTGTGTATTAATTCCTCTGTCACCGTATTCACCCGCTCTACATATACTTTGTATTGAGCACTTTTGTTTTGGAATAATCGACTTTCGTATTTACATATATTTCGTATCTATCTATCTATCTATCTATCTATCTATCTATCTATCTATCTATCTATATCTATATATATATATGTGTGTAAAAATGTCAATTTATTACATGTGGAATACACAAAACGAAAAAAAAAAAAAAACTTCGCAAGATGATATACATGAAAATCGAGTGAAAATAAAACATTTACAGTACAACTCCGAGTCATTTTCGGCGATCTCGCGAGAAAGCAAAAGGTTTGATACAGCGCATGATACTGAGCATGCGTGTATTAGTAGTGCAAAGTAAACTAAATACAGCCACCGAAACTAAATATCTCGATGTATATTTTAAAGTAGAATTTAAATTGCATTATTAGAAGCCAGTTTGAGGGACATTTCAGTTTTTGGTAAATTAAAGTAAACTGTTAAAACATGACATCGTATAATTAAGAGTTACCATGGCAACAAAACCTGACTTTGTAATCTTCACAATATCCTTCCGCTTGTTGACTATTTCTACACACGAATCCCACCAATGGGCTATACTGTGAAAATATGTCACCGGTGCTCGATGCGGGGTTATCATCAAGAGTCTGTACCTCCAAAGCATAAGGTCGTGGGCAGAGGGCGCTGTTTGGATATTGACTGATTAGATCAGTTAACATCTCCCAGTCACCAGTGCCAGATGGATTGTCACGATCGAACCACTGAGTCCAGTCATCTGGACATTCTGTAATAAATAACGATGTGCGTTAAAGCTAAGTTTTTGTGCACAATTTTTCACATTGGTATGAACCAAATAATTTTGAGGCAAATTAAAATCAAGTTAAAATTTTGGCTTTAATTGTGATATTTTTCAAATGTTTAATTAGTCCCAGACACAGACTCTTGTACTACAATATATCTCGATATTTAAAAATGTAATTTTCTGAGAATACATTCTTTACCAAAGAAACTGAACCCATCCCTAGGACAATTAAAACGACTAACGCTACAGAGGGGGGAGGGGGCAAGGGTTATTTTCGCTCAACGTAATTGCAATATTTTTTTGTTCGTACAACGTAAGTTGATAAAATAAATTCCGTAATTCTGTAATCATAGGCTAGACGTACAACGTAATCAATCAAATATTTTGTTCGTACACTGTAAAAATGTGTCATTTTTCTCGGTACGTACAAGAATCTACTTCCAAATAAAAAAGTCGTAAAGAATAATCCAGGGAAATTACGTTTTCGAAACTGTAAACGACTAGATTCACTACAAAATTCTGCCCTGCCCCCTACAAACGACATTGTAATAATGACACTCTCACTTATCGACTGATATGTTCAATAAACCAATTTTACAAAGCGCTATCGTACAAGGATTCAAGATACCTGTGTCCAATTATCATACCTGTTCTAGGGCAGCATATGCCATCGTTACATGTGAATCCATGAGAACACGTGTTATTGGCTTCACATTGTAGTACGTTTCCATCGGAGCCAAGTAGCGGCAAACCTTCTGGGCAGCTCATGTTGTTCACAATTTCCGGTTGTGTGATCTCAAATTCATCTGTTTCATTAATTTCCAAATTTACTTCTTGGTATTTATGCCCTGTGGTTAGCTTGGCTGCTTCTGGGCTGGAAATCTCAATTTGACTGATTACATTTGGTGTTAATAATAATACACATGCCACAAACCGATGAACGTTATTGGCAACCATCGCGTTCTTCAAACTATGTATGGAATTCAGAGATTGAGAAACTGTCAACAAAACCAATGTTCAACATATCTCAAAATAATGATTGGACCAGATGGAGATGGTTAGGATAAGAGTTGTCATGCCTGGGTTGGTTTCTACTAGTATCATTGATAATGGTAGCTTATCAAACAATACAAAAACACAAATCCTTATTAAACAAGTGGTGCGAAATTTCCGATCAAAGTGTCTTGGAATTGGAATTGTTGGATTAGTATAAAACTTCCCTGAAAAAATAAAAACACACATAACGGGGAGGGGCTTTGGTCGTCAATATTCGAGCCATGATGAAGTATATATAGATTTTGGAAGGTTCTGGTCAAGTGGAAAAATATAGGATTACAGACCCCTTTTGGATACAGCAAGCAATAGAGTACACTACAATACTTACGCTTGTGACTGTCACACTCGTCCAACTGACACGTGGTCTGTAATATCGGGTATATATAGAAGCGACAGAAAGTCACCGAGTTTTTTGCTATAGCAATCATAATGTTAATACAGTTTGTGATTGGTATTATTAAACGTCATATGCACGTCATATCATATGGTGTGACTAGATGTAATTACGCTAAGTGTGGACTGAAAGTAAAGAGTTTTGATTGCTATAAATATGATCCATCCGGTTTCGTCGTATAAGTTTGTTGTGTTGCCTTGAATTCGAGTTTGATTGACTATTGTAAAATGATGCGGTTGATATTGTGAATGGATACAAACAAGAGAGCATGGTTTGTTGTAAAACATTTTTTTTTTTTTTACGGCAAACATAATTACAAATCACTCTTTTTTAAATTATGGGTACGCATTGTTTCTATGTGTAACAATGTCAAACATCCCTGCTTTTCAAGGGTTTACATTGTCGTCTATGGTAAGTGTATGACTTCTATTAATACTATGGTATGTCGTTGATAAAGAACGTGTTTTCGTGAGTTTAAAGGGCGATCGTCGCGCAGCGCGTGTTCGAATTTCATGTAAATAAACAATGTAATTTACACGCGTTGTATACGTCGCTATGAGTCCCATATCGAACAGGACGCGACACGACGATTGCCACCCTTTAACATTATCGGCGTCTCTTTGGTCTGCCAACGACAGATGCATTTGGGAAACATGCCACATTCTGCAACTGTTATGCGTAAAAAATCACACTACTCCGAACAATCACATGGCAATTTCACGCATAAATGCGCAAATAAAATAGAAAACAAAACAACAACATTGAAGTACACGTTACGGTGGATGAATTTCATCTCACTAATAACTTATAATTAATATCAATTTTAGCGTGTCTTAATATAAAACAAATCATTATAATAATGGCTGGACGTAGAGTTAAATTTTCAAATATGGTCTTCACGGTGTACAGATGTCCGTCACATACATTACAATGCATTTTCATCACATGTGGAAAAGTAATTATTGTTCAGGTAATTAAAAATATTCCCAGTCATGTTTCTCTGAATGTGACATGTGCTTTTCGGGTATTTTACCATTCAGAACCGCACGAATACAAAAACACACAAACAAGACTGCTATTTGTTTAACGAACCATGTGTTTTGCTGGAAATAATTACTGT